AGAGAGCGAGAGCTGATCAGACAGATGGTAGGCAGGTAGGTGCATACTTGCATAGATGATGGTGATTAGGTAGATAGATGACAGATAAATGATAGGAAGGTAGGTGGGCAGGTAGACAGATGATTAGATAGTGGGCAGTGTGACTATAGCTCATGCAGCAGAAGTTCATGACCTTGGCTTTCTAACTTTTGTTTATTGCTCTTTCCATCTCTCTCTGGGGGGGCGGGGAAGAAATTGAAACTAAGCCCCCAGATCTCACCTGTCAAGCCCCAAACTGACCTCAGGGAATGAGCCTGCAATTGCCCCTCCTGTTTTCCCTGCCTCTTTCCTGCCTGAGAGAGCCACACTTGGTAGGAGGTGTCCTCATCGTCACAGCTCATTCCAGGCCATGAGCTCCTCCTGACCCTTGGGTGAGGCCACAGGGATGGGCCCCGGCCCCTGGCAGCGGAGGCTCTGCTGCTCAGGAGGGCAGGTGGAGACAGGCTGGGAGGGGCAGCCGAGTCCCTGAGGGCAGTCAGGGGGGTCTGATGGGAAGCGGACAGTAATCACAGCACACACCAGTCAGGCCTTGCTACGCGCTGGGAGGGGCGAGCCTCTGGGTAAGAGCTTTGCCTTGGTTAGTCCTCATAACAACCCCCTTGTAACAGCAGCACCCCATAATGGATCCTCTTTTTCCCTAGGGCTGGAACAGGACTCAGTCTCGGAGGAAGTTTGCAAGGCAAAGTTGCTGGCTGAATCCCCAGAAATACGAGTACGCTTGTCTAGCAGAATATAAGATAAGGATAAAGTCCAAATTAGCAGGTATTTCTCTGAGTTCCCTCTTCTCTCATGGTTATTTGATATTTTGAACCTTGATTACGGGGCAGGATGACCTTATTTACGTATCAGAGCTGTTTCCAGACAACCTGGAGCTGCAGACGTGTATGATGCACGTACTATCCAGACCCTGAGAAGCCAAAAAGACATCAATCAAGCTATGCTGTTGCACTGCGAGCCAATCACAATCCAGCACGACCTCCAGACCCCTCCTCTAAGATTTACCCTATAAATGCTCCTGATTCTAAGCCTTGGGAAGTTCTGGTGCAGCATTAGCTGGCTTCATCTCCTTGGCTGGCCCTCTCCAATAAATGCTAATCTTTCCTATGCATATCTCGGTGTGCAGATTTTTTAGCTGGACTGCTCACGGGCATGTGAACTCCTTTCTTGTTGATAATACTCTGAGGAAGTTATCCTCATTTCACAGATGAGGAAACTGAAGCTCAGAAGGGAAAAGTCATCTGCCCGAAGTTTTGTAGGTTTTGGCAGCACTTACCGAGAACAGCAGCCAGAAGGAACCCAAGTCAGATCACGCCCTCCCCTGCTCAAACTCCTTCCATGGCTCCCACCTTACTCCAAGTAAACGCCTAAGTCCCTTCCATGGCCCACATGGCCCTGCTTGATCTGTCCCCTACCCTCACCCTGCTGCCTCCCTAATTTCCTCTCCCACTCCCCCCACACCCAGCCCCCACCATGCCGGCCTCTTTTGTTTCCTCAGACAGCCCTGGGTCCCACCCGTGGGTGACTGCACAGCCCCCTCCCTGCCTCCCTCAGGTCTCTCCTCACAGGCAGTTTCTCAGCTTGGCCTTCCCTGACCTTCCTACTCGGAATTGCAGCCCTCCCCACCCACTGTCCTCAGATGCCAGGGTTCCCCAATATGTTCTCAATGTATTTTATATACTTATGTGTTTGCGATCTGCCTCTCGTAATAACTTCGTATACCATACATTATACGAAGTTATACGATAACGCAGCGGGAGGCTCATGATCGCGCCCACTGAAGAGGTAAAGTGGCCTGTTGGGAGAACTGTGATCATTAGAGGGGGCAGGGGAGGGGGGCAAGGGAGAAATTGGTTAATGCACCCAAAGAATGAGTGCGCTTTACGACGCTGAGTACACAAAGTCCACTGATGTGATCGCCGTGTACTGTACACAAATACCGATGGTCACCTGTACCCCACGAATATATATAATCCATTATGTCTCAATGAAAAATAAATAAAGGAACCAGAGGCCACTGCAGTACTGAATTGTATGTTTATTTTTTTCCTGATCTTGTAGGAAAAGTTTTTCAAATGTGTGTGTGCATCCCTAAATAATATATAGCTTTAATTTGCTGATTTTTCAGTTTTATGAAAATAGTGTTATCATTTTTCTGAGTCCCTCATATCGTGGCATCAACGATAGTGCATTTGTTTTATTGCTTCATGATATTCCATCGTGTGTATGTGCCATAAACCAGTTTTTCCTTTTTCTGTGATTGGACTTTTGGGTTGTTTCCAGGGTTTCGTATCACAAAAAAATGTAGCCATGAACTTTCAAGCGCTTGTCTTTGGTGGACGTGTGCAAAGCCTTCCCTAAGGTCTTAAAACCTAAGAGAGCCGCTCTGGGTTCTAGGGCACGGAAATATTTAAATTCCCAAGATAATGTTAATTTGCTTCCCAAAAAAGACAACCCATTGACCCTCCTACCTCTGCCCTGTGGCTCCCGTTCAACACATAGATATTTGCCAATCTGGTAAA